TGCCCCCTCGCTCGCCGCTCCCACCTCCGTTTCCGATGTAAAGACAAAGTCATTAAGACCGGGATGAAGGAGGGTGTAGGCGGGTGGCACGGTAGTCACTCACCCTTATCCCAGGTTGTAGGACCTTGTTTAGTAGGCGTGTACGCGCGAACGTTCACTGCTGCTGATGATGTTGGCCTCTGGGGCAGCCAATCACAGGTGTGTCTGTCTACCTTTTAAGGCTGACTCGGACAAAGACCGTTCTATGTGGCCACTGAGATGACTGCTGCCAGGCCCGCACCTCGGATTCTGCCCCGCTCGGTTGCAAACCTATGCTCGCCCGATAGTTAAATTCCTCCTACCTAATCTTAACTTCCTTCTGTACAGAATAAACTTCGAATAAGGAAGAAGGATTATCAAGCACCGTATCGATTTACTTGTTATTCTGAGCTTTCGGCCGCTTGCGGGAGTCCATCGCCAGAGATAAAAGTGTCCACGAAAAACAAGCAACATTTAGATGGGGGCAGGGACCAATCAGTCGTTATGCGGGGAGAGGAGGGGAGAAGGGCGGAGGGACTTCATTAATCACCAGTGTCGGCCGTATGAATATGCCTGCGGAGAGCGATCACCTTCGCAGCTGCGAAGTTAAAATCGTGAACCGTCTCGTACGTGCGGGCCGTCACTTGTCACAATGCGTCACCCCGTCAGACAGCCAGCTTATCTTTCTGTATGCGCGAACCGAGCATACGTTCAGATTGCCCTGTATAGTTACAAGGGCAGCTTAAGCAAGGAATGCGATACACTACCCCAGATTGTTTATTGGGGTTCAGCCGGTCCTTTATTTTCATAACCGGTTGCGCATGGTAACCTTGGGATGCTGTGCGATTCTGACTCCTAGTCCAGCAGCGATTTTATCAGCCTCTGCATACTTAGACGAGTCAAGAAACCACATCCGACTGGCCCAAAAGTTTGGCGAGCTCTTAGGTACGTGAATAATGTATCGGAAGCCGTCAGCCGCCTGCTCACCCCACTTGGAGTTGCGCACAGGCCAGAAGCAATCCTCAGTCGCCGGGCCGTGAGACTGAAAGGCCCACTGCCACGGCAGGAAATGCCTGGAGTCGTTTACCGGATCTGGTGCAGTTGCAGACAAAGCAACTA